CTGGATCCGACCCTATCTGACAACCCGCTACATACCCGAAAAACCAGCCATAACCATGGCTTTGAATGCATCTTTTACACCAAAATATCATGAAATGAAGCTAAAAAAAAAATCATATCATGCATTCTTAAACATTATATGACAAATTTCAAATATGCATTGGTTGAATCATCCTACAACCCCATAGGCATTAATTCCAAATATGCTTTCAAGGTAAAGACAACCAAATTAATTTTGTTCTGAAAGAAAAAGCCTACAAATAATTCAAGTTTGAGTACAACCAACATAAGCCAATTATTTGAAACAAACTAATCATATTCCCAGAACGAATAGATCATAACCTAAACTTTTGATTTCTCGAACAATTCAATTTTAAAAGACATAACGTGAATAAAAAAAAATTGAATTGGATCTATAAATATGTATCAAACCACATGAACAATTATTTAATGCCCAACTCAATCAAATTTATTCCCCGAGCAACAAAACGAAAAATTCATATAGAACAGACTCATCACCTTATGAATCCACATGAATAATTCGAGATGCGAAAAACAAATTGATTCTCAAATATCCAATATGAAGAGTCTCTGATACCACTTGTTGGAAATTTTAACCTTATGCGAAAACCGCTTTATCCCAGGAGTATTCATATCGAATAATTGAGAATCAAAACCGAATCAAAACGGAAGCGTACCGTACTTCATGAATTCATTTGCTTGATAATTCTCGTGTGTTGTGTTCTTCCAAACGATCTTGTTGGACTGGTATGGTCTTCCAAACGATCGAACCATATAGCAGATTTTGATCTGTAGTGTTTGTATTGGATATATGATTTTGTTATATTCCCTTATTCTGAAGTGAGAAGGTGAGTGCTTTTAAAGGGAGGAAGCACCCCTTCATAAATCTGCTCGTGTCTTTTCGTCGTTTGGGGCCATAACCAAATAAATAAGAAATATTGATTTTCAGTTCGGTCCCTCAACAAACAAAAAATCACATAATGGTATTTACACTTTTAAATCCATAACAATTTGATACTCTCTTTATTCAAAATTACAAATTAGTAGATCACTTTAATTGAATAATATTATGACAACTATACACATTTAATTTACATATGTTGTCTAATAAAATATTTCTAACAGACAACTCAATTCAAATAACATCAGTACATTTTGCAACCCCAGGTGAAAATAATTTCTGGCTACGCCATTGTACATCCCTTTTAGTAAATGAGGCTTAAAATAAATAAAAAAAAAAAAA